TCCTTTAGGTTTTCCCCACAAAATCACTGTTAAATTCAAGCATGGCTGCCAAGATGGGTGTAAATGTAGACCTGTTGCTTCAACATGTGACCTTAGCTTAACTTTACCTGTACACTACCAGCAACTGGAATTTAATTGTGTGATGAGTTCAGCAATGATTGAGTGTGCTGGATTTGGAAGAATTTAGAAGTGGTACACTAGAACAGTTCAACTATTACAAAACCTATTGTACGTACATTGACAAAAATTAGATGTAGTACATTTATGTTATTTTTGTTGTGCAATGATACATTATTAAGAGGCAACATCCATTAGCTTTTGAAATAAATTGAAAGCCTCTTCTGGGCTTGTGGGATATTGAGTGCCTTCACTTTCCATTAAATGATGAAAATATTGCTGATAATCTTCTTCATAGTTCTGATTTTCATCATCAACTTTCAGTTCCATCTCAGCAATTTGAGCTTCTGACACTCTGTGCAAATTGTTTATACCTCCAGAACATTCTGGCAAATAAAATAGTACATCTGGCTGTCCAGAAACACTATCATGCCTTGATGGGCGGATAAGATGTGAGTTCCAGCTGGCTTTAACTTTCTGAAGGTCATCATTCAGTACAGCATGAAAACAAAACCAAAGGCATTCCCTTTCAAGGTGATTGCTTATATTTAGCACACCAGAGTTACACATATCTTTAAAGAAATTTATCCACCAATGGGTTCTCATCTTTCGCAAATGAGACCGCCAGTTTTCAATTCGTTGATTTCCAGTAGATGTACCATACTGATGTGCTTTTTCTGCACAATATTCATCATCGCCATTAGCTCTAAAAAAACACTGCATTGCTGCCATTGTTCCATTTTCAGTTCCACAATCTGTTCTGAGCAAAGCTGGGCAACCTTTTAACTGCTTAACAAACTCAAGATATAACTGTGCAGGAGCAGCTGGCGAATTGTTGGATTTCACAACTTCTAACCATAGTACTTTCCGACTGTATCCATCAATTGCACCATGCACAGGGAAGCCAAAGGGCTTAAGCTTGTCATAACCTTTCACAAATAAAAATAGATATGTACTGCTTCAAAACTATCTAAAAGACACTTCCTGATAAATATTTTTTGAATGCACACCAGACATTGCACTGATTTTATTTAGTGGATGGGGACGATTCTGTACACATCTAGGTGAATTTTTATTGCCAGCAAACAAAAGTGGGGAAATGCCAATTGTTTAATATAAATCTCTTAGACTAATCACTAAGCAGTCATTGTCTATTTGTATTTCTACTACTATATATTTCTTAACACCATTTTTCTCTTACCATCTGCATGCCAGCAGTGATTTGGTCCAGGTGACAAATATATTCTTCTTTTCAACTTTTTTGCTTTTCTTGCTTCACTTGCTGCAGGGTTAAGTTCATACAAAATTCTGCAAACCATTTCTCGGGGTGCATGTACATTATATACTATCCTCAAAGCATGCCAAATGGTCCTGTATCCTGACTGTTCTCCTGCATTTGCCATCTCCATTTTAACCAGTTCTCTTACATATGCTTCATCAACAGATACATTCTTTCGCTTCAGATTATACTCTCTTAGTCGCCTATTGAGTGTTCTAAGACTCATAGATACTCCATGATGTTTTGTCAAGAAGTCAAGAATAACATCATAGGTATAGCCACAGTTGAAGTAAAAAGTAATGGCTTCTCTTATCTGATCTACAACAGGTTGGTTTGCAGCTGCCAAATTAAGAAATACATACTATTTAAATTTTATGTTATTCAAAACTTTCAATAAAATAAAGAGATAGTAGCCATAGATTGTACATAGACAATACAATAATGTGAAATTTGTTTTATATATATGTATAAGACTAATAAAGACACCTATCATTGAGTTGAAACATAAACATTAATGCATGAGTCAATTCCAACAGTTACCATCCCCCCCCCCTGGGACACCCCTGGGCATTTGCCCTGGAGACCTTTCTCGGGGGTCGGGAATTTGCTCGTAAAAGAGATGCTCGGGAGCCGGGTATTTACTCCGGCAATAATACCCCCGGGGATTTGGCACCATTTGAGTACGCGAGTCGCGAGTATTGGAGTATTGATTTCTATTAATCGCGACATTAAATAGTTAAAAAGGTCGTATATTGGTAGTAAATATGGATGAGTTTGCGGGGAAAAGCGTAAAATTTGTTAGCGATTGGTTAAAGGAATCCAACCTTGAAAAACTCGTGGATATTTTTGAAGGTAATTCCTTAAAAAAATGTACAGACAATATAATATAACTTTATTTAAATATTGTATTTGCCAATTAGTGTATGCACATGTGCTGCTCACTTGCACTTTTATGCCGTACGTTTGTTTGATTTGTATTTGTACTCTGAAAAAGTTCAATTTTCCTCCGTTTTGTTTTGACTTTTACATATTTGGTTTTATACATTTATTATGCTTCCCAATAAAAATTGTCGCACTGAAATTTTATTGTGTTTAGCAAAATCTGAACTCTAGTTATCTTTAAATATACCAAATTTTTCCGAATATTTTTGTGATATAATGTAGATTCAAGAAGTTTTTTGTATTAAAATATTTACATAAAAAGATATTTTAGTGAAATATCCCTAAAAGACATAATGTTTGCCCCTGTTGTTACGTATGTTGATATATTGAGGATTGTTGCTGTATGTCAATTGACAAAATCTAATTACAATTATTTGTATATTTGAATAAGTTTATAAGATCTTTGTAGGCAAAACACTCCCATTTGCTTGTTCAAATGGCAATACACAATTGTTTGAAATTTTATTTGTGACCAGCATGTATATATGTAGCATAAATTAAATATTTATATTTTCCATTGGTTATATTATAAGATTAACATGACAGATAGTTGTATGTATTTTAAGAGTATGGAACAATAAATGTATTTTGTGAGTATATATAAGGATCTTATTGATAGGTATGCTGAAAAAATATTTTATATACTTTAGAGAATGAAATTGATGGTGATGCCTTTGTTCTTTTGACAACTGAGTCAATTAAGGCAATGATTAAGAAGCAGGGTCTTTTGTTGAAATTTAAACATAAATTTCAACAGCTTAAAGAAAAAAATATTGAGCAGCATGTATATCAAAAGGCACAAGGAGTTTCATCTGGAGAAGATACCACCAACAAGCTTTCATTTCCAATAAATGTGTCTCCATGCATGAGTACTGATGTTATGTTAGAACAGAGTAAGATTTATGGCAGATTTAAAAGCAATGCCAAACTGTCAAGCTGGCAAAAGGCAGTGAATGATGCAGCATTTGCTATAACACAAGATGCCCCAGTTAAGCTTTATGACCGTTCCCAGCTGAAATTGGAAGCTGAAGAAAAGGCATGTGCTTCATACATTTTCAAAAAGAAGTCTGGATCGCGATCAAAGTTTGAAGGTACACATTCGTCAAAAAGAAAAAAAATGTCAACTGCAGAACAAAACCAAGAGCTGACATCATCTTCAAGCCAAATTGAGAGCCTGACCACATTGATAGATAAACTTGAAAAGGACATGAATAGAGCAAAAGCGATCCATGATTTTGAATTATGTACTAAACTGTACAATGAGAAACGAAAGATGATAGTGGAGCAGAATAAATTAAAGAAAAAATACAATCATCTGCTAAAGAAGCAGCAAAAACACAAATGGTATCAGGAAAAGAAAAGTGATGATTGTAGAAGTAAGGCATCTTCCAGTGAGTGTGAAAATGTACTGCATAGGGATATAAGGCATTTTATGCAAAAGAAACCAGATGATTCAAATATTAGCAACACCAAGATTGTGAAAGCGATCAATCGTCCAGGAAGTGATGATACGTTGATACTTGACAGTAGTACTAGTGAAGAAGAAGAACTCAATAGCTCAAGTGATAGAGGATCGCTTGATGGGAGAGTTCCGGAATTGAAAAGGAAAATCCAAACTGCAAGCAATGAAATAGTTTATGCAACAGAACAGTTGGCAGCTGGTAATGAAAGCGAAGATATAAAAAAGAAGATTAAAATTGATGTGGTAAAGCATCAAGAAGAGGAAGACATGAAATGTTTGGAGCATCACAACTCATCTATAGTAAATGGAGAAGAAATTGTTTGTTTGCGACAAGCAGATCCTGTGCACACTGATGTCAAAGCAGGATCCAATCATCTAGATGATGAAAACTCTTTTTTATGAGTTTAGAGCCCCATGTACATTACATTACCAAGGGGTTTCACACACGAGAACAATGAAAGATTTAGTTAACATTTTGCGGACCCAAGAACATAGAAAACTTACAGACTGTAAAGTGCAGACAGTCACAGAATTTGTTAAAGTTTATGTTAGTTTATTTGAGGGTTTAAGTTTATCAGAATATATAGTTGCCAAGAAGGCAAGATGTAAAGAAATACACAGCAGTCTACCTTTGTGTTTGAAGTGTTACTCGTTGATTGATGCTGCAACCATGATTCTTAATGAAAACATAGTAACTTTACCTTGTCTTTGGAATAGATGTTTCAGTAACATTCCATATAATAGTGGAAAAGCTAAAAGAAAAATGCTTCAGATGCCAGTTTCTGCTCTCAGTGTAAATGATGCAATTTAAGTCACTGAGAAGAAAAAAGCACTAGAAGACTATGCCTTGCTTGCGAAGAAGATACAATCAAATTTTATGACTTCTAAGAACAAGTCCTACTTACAGCCAAAAGACTATGACGTGATGTTTTCTGTTGCCCAAGGAGACGTTGAAAAAACTTTGTTGAAACATACTGTGTGCAGCACTCAAAATCTATCTAGAAGGAGATCAAGTCAACTTTATGGGATATCAAGACTTAAAGAGAGAGCTAATAATATCAACAAAACTGCACTCACGATGAAGGAAATAAAGGATAGACACTCAGCTTTAGCAAAGTCTGAGCAAAAACAGTTCTTGCTATCGTGTGGTGAAAACATTGATAATTACTTTATAAGCAGTTCGGATTCATTTGTGGAAATGGACTATGGAAGTTCAAGCAATGACAGTGGCAGTAACATGGAAGAATATGTTCCTGAGATAGAATTTAGAGAGGAAAGTGTAAAGGATAAGTGTAGAGGTGAGAGTAACATTCAAAAAGCAGCGAAATTACTTAAAGAAGTCTCTTTTAATTGGTTTGCGTTTGTTGTCCTGCTACAATCCAAATTTCGCTCCGAAGACGAATCAGTAGTTGACTCGTTAATGATTGAAATTGCATTGCTTTTACCAAAACTTGGATTCAGCGAAGAGGAAGTTCAGTTAATTGAGCAATCACGTGCTGCTTATCTGCAAGCAATTGAACAAAGCGAAGAAATTGTGCAAACTATTTCACTCTCCTCTACTGATTCAAGTTGCGAAGAATCGGAAGAAGAGAACCTGAAACGACTAAATCATCAAGAATCAATTCATAGTAAGCTACGAAAAATAAAAGATAATAACAGAAAAAGAATGTTTAAAGAAATTCAGGGAAAACGATTTCTTCGGAAGAGAATATCAAAGTCTACGAAAAGAATATTGGATAAGTATAATGACATTGGTGAAGTCATCGAGAACATCGTTGAGGAAAGTGATGTAGGAGCTGATCGTTGGCGCAGAACTGGTGTGTACACATTTTCTGGGGATATTAAATCATCACAGCGCATCACATATGGTAAAATAAAAGAAAACTTCAAGAACATTATGGTAGACACTTCAGCTATGGATCAGTAGTTCAATTATGTGTACCAAAACATAAACGACATCGCTCATCTAAACGGTACAGTGGTGTTGCCAATGTCAAATACATGAGAGCGAGGAAAGGTTTTACATTAAAGTTTAATCCTGATTGCAAGTGGAGTCGTTCCATGTATAAGTCTCTGAATCAATTACAAAAAGATGGGAGCCACATGTTGCTTGTCAATAGAGATGATCAAGCTGGCTTTCGATTAGACTCCACATTTACCCATAAAAACTTTCCTGTATTATCAGTGAAACCAACTCTTACTACCCGCCCTGACTTTCTTAATAAATATCAAGCACAATTGCAAGTTACAAGCTATAACTTTTCAAAGACATCCAACACAGTTGAACAGTGTGTTGGAGTGGTAAAAGCATCTGGACTTCATGAAAAATCGCCAGCACAACACAGCGCAGATCTGTCTGTTGTCGAAAATATGGATGTGATTGCATCAGCATTTCATAATACCAACAAGAAAGCTAAAGAATTTGAGTGTATTAGAGTTGATGGTGCGACAGACGAGGGCCCTTCCCATGCTGAAGTTCAATTTATGTGGTGCGAACGGCATGTAAACAAGAAAACAAAGGTGACACTTGTAACAACCCGGTGCAGTGGTGACAGCTACCTCAATCGTGTCGAGCTACAAAATGGGTGTTTAAGTCGTGGGCATTCAAACACATTCATTCCATCGACTTTACATGGTTCACCATATTCAGATAATGGAGAATTTGACAAGAAAAAGCACGAAAAAAACATGTCTGCTGCCATTGATCAATACATTAGTCGTGTTGATGGAACGCCATGTATGAATACTGTTATTCATTTGATAAGGGGTGCAGAAAACCATGATTTCGTGTCACGGAGAAATAAGCTATTAATATTTCTGAAAGGAACTAAAAAAGAAAGGCTAAGTCTGAAAAACAAAAATCCCAGTTTGTTTGACTATTTTTCGGAAATTTGGGACGTACGAAACAATCATATGGATAAAAGTTTGCCGGAAAAATATGTTTTTATGCTGAGGTGTTGTGGTAAATCAGGATGCCCACATCCACTGTGTCAGGAAGGTAAAATATCAAAGAGAAATAAATCTGAGAAAATCAATAAATTTAGTAAACTTAAATTGAACTAACAAATATTTTTTTAATTTTTTATTAGCGTTCAAACAACCAAAGTCAGCAGAAGGTATTTCTACATTTGGAGGCAGCTTTTGCATTTGTGGTTCCTCTGAAGACACTAAGAGGTAACTTTCCTCAGCTTTAAAAACTTGTATTTGATAATCGTTGTAGCTAACAAGTCATTTGGATCGATCTTTGTAGATTTATGATATGTTGTGATCAATGCGGACAGTGGTTACATGGGGATTGTGTAAAGACAACAGAGGAAGAAGCACAAAATTTGGAGAAATTTGTTTGTAGTGCCTGCAAAGAACAAGGTACATTAATCGGAAAGAGTTGTATATTTTGCTTTAATTGTTAAAGTAATATTTTTAAGGTGTTAAAAGTGCATATTGTTATTACGTCCCTTAAACTTTAAATCAAATTGCACTCTTGTTGATATTTTATAAGGTGGAAGAAATCTACCGATTCCCATCTCCTGGTATCCAGACGGACCATCGTGTAGTTTTTTTCCTTACCCAGTTGCTGATGCAAAGAGACCTTGGGGAGGGGAGGATTGCAAAACATGCACGGGAGATTGCTATGGGCATTATGTCACCAATGTATCAGAGCTGCTAAATTTATATGCAGTTGGCAAAGCTATAAGGAGCCCGCCGCCGTCTGAAATACTGGCAGACTTTCACAAGAGTCACAGTGGCGGATGTGTAGAGGATGCTGACATAAGCATGCTTGCCAAGAAATGTTTGCTGTCAACCGAGGATGTCAACTTGTGGATTCAGCACTTGACGCAAATTTCTGTGAACAGGAAAAGAGGTGCTGGAAAAGCAAAAGCAGCAAGAGAAAAGCGGAGCAAGGGAAAGTAACAAGGGAACGAATTTCTTTTACCACATTTATTTTTTATAGGATATATGTGTTAGTTTGTGTTAGTTTAATAAAGTATTAAAAAGTGTTCCTAATTTTCGTAATTTAAAATTACTTGGTCCCGGAGCGGGGCATTTGCCATTGGCAGCTTGCCCGGGGGCTGAGTATTTGCCTTCTTGCCTTTCCCCAGCAGCGGGGAAATTGAACTATTAAAACAAAAAAAATCAAATGCCCGGCCAAAGTCCCGGGGGGGGATGGTAACTCTTGGAATTGACTCGTGCATAAATAGTAAGATCCAAATGATTAAAATCGTTACGATTTGTACAAACCTACAAGCTGCACCAGCTGATGTCCACATTCTTCGCAAAATCTATAATTGTCTCGACATATGTTAAGGCAATTTTCGCAATTGATCATTTTAGCAGGTCATTTATACATCTTTTATTTCTTAACTGGTAACCGTTATCGCCAAACTACAGTCAGTTGACAAATTAAAAATCAGTAATTAGGAGCAGTTACCCCCCCCCGACGTTGAGTGTGTGCACGTGTGTTATTTTTGCCAGGGGGTAAGAGAGTGTTCGGTATGTTTATTTGTATAGAGAAAGATAATTTCAGCGTGGAGAAGGGATTATTTGCTCGTAGCAACCTTTCTTTAAGTGTGGAGAAGTAGCATTTCAACAAGCAGAAGGTTAACATTTGTGTGGAGCAGTTCGTTTTCCATGGAGCAACATTATATTTGTACGGAGAACACTCGGGTTTGTACGTAGAAACTTGATTTGTATGCAACAGCTACATATTTCTACGCAGAAGCTGTGGCACATACGGGCCACCGTACATTATTTATACGTTGTTTATTTAATCGCTTTCATAAATATGTATTTCCTAGGTGAAAGTGTGTCAAAAAGCGCTCAAATACTGGCAAATCGTATCGACAAAATATCTATAACAAATTCAACTAAAACATACAAATGAATGTAGTATGAAAGTAAAATACCTTTTCAGTATTTAAATCCATCAAATGGTTGCCCAAAGTCCACACAAATACAAGGAAAAATAAACGCAAATATCAATTTATTGAAGAAATTGTGTTGTTTATCATTTGTTGACCAGAAAATAGTCGTATGTCACTCGTTTGTACTCGTATGTTACTCGAATGTACTCGTGTGGTGTTTTAGGGGCCGTTTATATGGTCTCGGGTACTAGGGTTACCCTACTGCCGGAGACACCCTGGGAGGGCTTAGTTATTATAATTTTATACTAGATTAGCAGCGAGCGTTTACATGAGAAATTCTTTCGCACAGGGTAACCCTAGGAGTAGGTTTACACTGTTTAGGAAAGAGGGTAACCCTACTTGACGAGACAAGTTTCTGTCATATAAACACTTTGGCCCTGGCACCAGGGACAAGTTTTGGATAACGCATGCGCAAAGTAATGTAAATATTGCAGCAATATGGCGGCGAATACGAGCAACTGGAATAACGGAGCAAGTGCAAGCAAAGCTTCTTCAAGTAAGAAGTCAAAAAAATCGTCTTGGTCTCCCCAAATGATTGATGCATTAATAAGTGCATTTCAAGAATATAAAAATATGTCCGAATTTAACTCAATTGACTTCAATGCCGACAAAGTACGTCTGTACGAGGAAGTGAGGAAAATTCTTGCCAAATCATATCAAGAAGATTTTGGTCCCCAACAAGCGTGTGAACCCGAAAAACCTGTCAAAGAAATGACAAAAGACGAATACGATCAGTATAAGACAGGCCATGATTTGGATTTAAAACAAATTAAAGTTGGTTACCTTCGTATAAAGAGAAAATAAAAGTATTAGACAAGACTACTCGAAAGCAATTACTAGCGGCCGTAGAAGTGGTAGTGGGAAAATCGTTTTGGAATATTTTGACAAACTTGCTATAATCTGGAGTGGCTCTCCTTCTACAGATTCTCTATCTTTTGGAGTGGATACACAAAGTATCAATTATTCTGGGAAAGAACAGTCAGGTAATAAATAATAAACAATTTTAAATATTCTGCTACAAGATTCTGTTCAGTTGTCGTCACAAAATACAGAAATTTGATCTTCTGTGGTAGGTATAACTTTCAATAAAAACCGGTCATTCTTTTGCGCAAGAGTCTAATCTAATGTAGTGCTCCTTTCTTATGTGGTTACTTATTTTTTGTAAATAGATTGCTCTCGCCCTGAAACACCTTTGAGTACATTAGATGCAGATGTAGAAAACAGTGAATCAGAGTTGGATAGTTTATATGCAGAAAATATTGGCTCTACATTTTCTTCTGCTTTTGCACAAAAAAGAAAAATTGATCTATCATCTTCAAATGTGCCACGGCTAATAGACAATAAGCGTAAAAATCTAGAGAAGAGATTATCAGCAGCACAACGAGACCAGAAGCTGATGGACGCCGCAAAGGAAGACACAGAAATGAGAAGAGAAATGCTTGAATGTTTTAAGGAATCATCTAAAACAACAGCTCGTGCAATTGAAAACATGTCTTCTACTTTGAAAGAAATGAGACAAGGAATGACCCAAGCAATGTTGTCTATTGGAAATAGCTTCTCCCAACCTAGAAGAAATTATTCCTGGTGTTTTCCATATGATTTTAATCAATCATTGTCATTTTCCACCCCAAACACATCTTTCTCTTATTCAAGTGAAACTCATGAAACATTGCATTAGTTGCAGTAACTTATATGTTAGCTGGGGAAGATTATTATTTTGTTTAATAGCTATATGAGGACTAGTTTATAAATTTATTGTATTGTTTATGCACAGAAACAAAACTTCAGTTACTACTTATGATTGTTATGTAATGTGATTTCGGCTGACTTGTACTGGTATCAAATCAGAGAAATTAAAAACAGATACTTTTGTAGCTTTATTCACTATTAAAACTCAAGTAAAAAATTAGAGTTCAGTGTGTTCCTTTAGAAAAGCAACTATTGTCTTTCTGGTAGATGTTCCTTCAGCAGTATTACAAGAGAAAATCAAGTCTTGCTGAATATCTGGTTGTACTTCCCTATCATATTTAATTTGCTTCAAAACACCATCATCATCGTCGTGAATTCCGTGTAATTGACAAAAGTTATGTAAAACAAAACATGCATATATCATATAAGGAACATTTTCATTCTTCAGGTTTAGTACAGTGTTAAGTTTTTGCCATCTAGCTTTCAATCGTCCAAAGGCACACTCAATCTGATTCCTTGAGGATCGCAACAGATTGTTAAAAATGACTTCTTCATTACTCTTGCAACATTCAAACTCAGTCATGCAATATGGCAGTAATGGATAAGCTGGGTCCGCAAGAAGCAGAGATGATACCTTGTCATGGCCTGGAACTAAATTCCGATAAACACTAGGCAACTTGTTTTCTCTCAGCATTTCGTTTATTTTAGAGTTACTAAAAACTTTAGCATCGTGCACACTCCCTGGCCATCGGCAGTCAACGTCAAGGAATAACCCTCTATAGTCACAAACTGCTTGGATGTTCAAGGTATATTTCATCTTGTAAGAAAAATAATCGTGAGAGTTCTCTAATGGTTGTTGGATAGCAATGTGGGTGCCGTCTATGCATCCATAGGCTTGAGGGAAACCATGCTTTGATTCAAACCTTATGATCAATTCTCTCATTTCTTCAGAAGATTGTGGTAACTTGATGTACTTGGGACCAAGATATTTGCTGATTGCTCGACAGACTTCGTTGACAGTTTTGGAGACAGTTGGTGTAGCAACTCCAAAGGAGTTTGCAGTCATTCAAATAGAGCCAGTATCTTTAAGAAAATATAAAGTTAATGCTACTTTTTTTTCGACTGAAACTGCTGTCCAATTAGGAGTTGCAAAATTTGGTTTAATAAAAGGTTCGAGTTCTTGAACCAATTTCATGAAATCGTCTTTGCTCATGCGAAGATTCAAGTTCCACTCCTGGAGATCAAGTTCACCGAGCCAGAGATTACTCCACCATCGCTCTGTCCTACCGGGCTTCTGCCAGCATGAACGAAATCTTCCTCGTCGACTTGTAATTTTTCGTTTTGCTTTCAAAACATGAGGATTTTCCTTAGCTGTGCCCAAGCACAGGAGAATATCTTGCTGCATTTGCTGTTGCACAGTAAGTAATGTAATACATGCATCTAACATGGAAAGAACCAACACTATATTCAAAATTATGGGCATATAGAAAATACAATTTCTGCGTTATCCATCTTGGATTTTGTTGAGTGTAGAGTGAACTGGGAACGAGTTAAAAAGAGAGCGTGCAATCTCTCATGTAAACGCTAGACAACTTTGTCTCGGGCAGTAGGGTAACCCTAGTACCCGAGACCATATAAATGGCCCCTTAGTCACGATCTTCGTGTGTATCTAAAATTTACAAAAGGTCAAACCATTAAATATGTTCAGACTCTATAACAATCTACATGACTGCAACTAAAAAGTTCATGTAAGATAATACAGTTTTATGCAAGCAAATTGGTTATGCCAGAGAAGCATGTCTAGTAAGACAGCAAGATTAGTAAGTATCAAATAAAAATAACTCTTAAAGTTTCTGTTTACTTGTAGTAATAATGTTCAGAGTTTTTTCTGGGTTAAGTCTTTTTAAAATAGTCTTGTTGTGTCTGGTTATGAAAGTTTTCATGTTTTCGCCGCAGCAGTAGCTTATGTGTATTGTGTGTCGGTTGAATATCTTGGAGAGTATAGTATTTGTTGGAAATGTTTGTCCATAAGTTGTAGGAAGTCGTGGGCGATGTGTGTTTTTACGTTTGGTGGGTTAAACCAAGTGACGTTACGTTTTCTGTTGCACGTAGTGTGTTTATTGATGTTTGATGTATTAAAGGTGAGTTGGGTGGGGAAGCTGCTTTATTTAAGAGCTTGGTTGTAAATTGGTGCGGCATTTTCGAAGGTGTCTTTGCTAGATGAGAGTGTGTTAATTGGGTTGTTGATGCATGTGGGTAGTTGGCGTTATACCAATGGTGGGTGTTTGGACAATCTGTGAATGTAAAGAGGCTCTTCGTTGTGTTTTCTATATGGTTGGTAGGTGTCATTGCTAAGGTCAAAGGTTACGTCAAGGAAGTTTGTGCGTTCATGGTTTGTCATCGCTGTGATTTTTAGTCCAAGCTCATCAAATAGGTGTGAGAGGGTTTTTCTTTCTTTGTCGCAGAGTCTTCCAGATTTGGTGTTAATGACTGCAAGGCCATCGTCACGGTGTAAACCGACATTGTTCATGTACCAGTGCTGTAGTTGGTTGAGTAAGAATAGCCCTACAAGCTTGCAAACTTCCACTCCATCAAAGCTGCCCATGGTTATATCAAACGTGTTGGTAGCGTTGCATTTGGACCATGTTTTGTTTTGGTGGAAAAGTAGTGATTTTCTTGCTTGTTTTATAATGGTGTGATCTTTTTCTGTGGTTGTTGTGTATTGTTTTGCCCACGGTAGGCATTTGTCCAGTAGGTGTTTGGTGTTCGAAGGGTAAAAGTGTACTATGTCAAATGATATGAATGATTTTTTGTTTTTCGGTGATGGATTTAAACCAAGTGATAGCATCTGTTGTGTTGCACCATTGGTTTAGTTTTAGTTTGTTTTGTATTACGTTGTTGATGTTGTCTAGGATGAATTTGCTGACTTTTCCGAGGTGGCTTTTTGCGGGGTTGATGAGGCAGCATTTGTGGTTGTTTTAAAGTCTGTTTTGTGGTCCTTTAAAGATATGAATGCTGGAGTATGGTTCATGGTGTTTATTCGGTAGGCAATTTTTAAGTTGTCAGCCATTAGTTTTAGCTTGGAATTTATTTCTTCTATAGTATCTTCTTGCGTGTGTTTGTATGTCTTTGTCACATTCTCCACGAAAGTTGCAGCCTCTGTTGCCAATATCCACAAAAGTTGCAGCCTCTGTTTTTCTGAGTGCTATGCTTAAACTTGGTAAAACAATTCAACCAACAGAGGAAATAGTTACACTATATATTGAAGAATTCAAAATAAGTGATAAGATATGGGCTCAGCCGTTTGAAGTTACACTCTCTATTTGCAAACAGAAATTCGCATGAGATGAAATTCAGAAATTCGTAGAGCATGTTTGCAACAAATTTGGCCTTATGTTTAAGCTCAAAGAAATGTAGATAATGTAGTTATGACTGACATTTTAAATCAAGTTTGATTGACAGTAAAAATGTTTTTGTTAAAATTACTTGATTAAGTTCAGTTTTCAAAATACTATTTTAATAAAGCGAGTTTCTCTTTTGTCTTAAAAAATATTCAGGTCAACATGACTCTTTAAGTATAAATAAGCTTCCTTAGCATCACTGGGATTGATTTCATGTATTTGGGGCAAATGCTTCTTACATTCGTCACCAACAGCAGGTCTTAAATAATCATCATTGTCTTCCAAAATATCGATAAAAATAAAATTTCAATTGGATAGTGGTGAGACATGTAACCTAATACCGGTGGATGCAATCCCAGGAGAGAAGATGCAAGCCACGCGAAAAGTCCTAAAACTGTATAATGATACTCAAGCCAGTAGGGCAGTGAACACTAAAACTACATATTCCTAGCAACAATCTCAACTATGAAGTTGACTTAGTTGTTTTTAATGGCTGCAATCCAATACTTGGGAATGCTTCAATGCTGGCAAATAAAAAGTTCATGTTTAACTAAATAGGAAATTAAAATAAAAGAAGACAATTTTTTATTTTAACATATACATAATATACAAAATATAAATGTTAAATGTTAGATTAACGAAGCATGATTGCCAGTTGTCTTTCATTTTGTTGTCGTCAACATAAACAATAGGTATGCAATTAAGCATGCTGAAAGTCAGCAAGGGCTACAAATTTGTTCATGTAATCGCGTACATTATTTTGATGGGATATTATAACATGCCCTTGCTGATTTTAGCCCCACCAACAAGGCTAAAAATCTAAGCCCGGGCTGAAATTGATCCATGCAATCGTCCCCTAAAAACCATAAAAAACATACATGATGGCTCTCAGAGCAATCTTATCTTCAACTGGGGAATCATTTCCTTATTTTCATTTTTGCTGTCTGTAATCAAGAAATGGACAAAAAAAAACAAGGCTAAATGTGCGTTTTCTGATATCAAAATCAAACTTAAGCTTCAACAATCCATAGAAAACATAAATTTATCTTGTTCACTTGTAACTATTAAATCTCTTTTGACATTTACTCAACTGAACACAAACATGTGTTTATTAATTTACTTACTATTCTTTCTCTTTTTTATATAATTATTATATCGGTTCTTCAAACTTTGCCAAGATCTTCCTTCCACAATCTAGAAATATTTAGATCAGACAAATGATATCAAAAAGCTAATCCCCGTTTAAGAAATAATCTTTAATGCATTGCATTTTCTTTTTCCATATTTTTCCAAAAACTGTTGCTATATATCTCTCTTTAATTCTCTTTTATGTAGAAGAGAAGTTTTTCGTCTTCTTGCACAGTGTAGAACCTTAGAAAAATAAATTCATCTGCAACGTCTGTGATGTTTAGTTCTGCAATCTCTTGATTGGTTAGCCAGTCAAATTAACCTGTTGGTAGTGGTTGTGACATTGCCTAGGTGTATAGGTTATTGTCATTGAAATACATGAGATAGGACGTTTTGTTTTCTCTGGTTCAACTTTTGTTATTTTTAAACATGCCTGCCAGGCTTGACCAGGACTTGTGTAACAGTGACAAGGGTATAAGTTATATGCTTTGCGACTTACACTTCGGAAATTCTTGAACGCGTGTGCAAGAAGAAGAACATCTGACTTTAAGTATAAATCGTGATAATCTCCCATAGTTTGACCGTTAAATTCTTCATAAACTTTAGTTGCGTGTGTGTAATCTTCATCTGAAATGTGTTCATGTTTAGAATGTGGTAAAAGGATTCTTTCTCCAGCAAGGTTGGCTCTTCAAGTCTTTCCACACAATCCATGTAGTCATAGGGTGTTACATGATAGCAACTACTATCATGTAATATCATTTATAAACTATTATTGTATCATATTATAATTTCATATTTTTATATTTTAACTTTAAAATCCATTTTGCAATGTCATTACTAAGTAGGACACTATCTAGAAGCTTGCTTGCATGCTCTAGAAGCTTGCTTACATGCGTAAACATATTTTAGAACCGCAACCGCATTTGTTGTTATTGTGGTTAACTCTATCTTGCTGTAACATACTGTATTGCATATGGGATGTGGGTTATTATAAATATATAAGTAGTTTAGACCACTGAGTACAACCTATGAGGGCAACCTATGAGGAGACAAACTTAGGAGGCATAGTACTACCTAAGCTAAAATCTACCAGACGACTATCTTGGCTTTTGTGCCATAACTATCTTTTGGCTTCTGTGCCTTTAATCTATTTGGAAACATATTGTGAGTCATTGTTGGACTCACGAACGCTCAAGTATAAAGAACGCTCGCGGTTGTACTTAGACAGAGGAGATATGTTTTACTCATACTTATTGATATTATTATTATGACACTTATCTACTTTAGTATTTACGCGTTGATTAATAAATTGTTTGAGAAATATAACTGGTTCACACTATCTTTGTTGCATGTGGAAATAGAACCAAAATTAACAGTTATTCTTTCGGGAACACGTAACATAGGGGTATACGCCTTTTCTCAACAGCAAATGAACTGTATCGCTGTCAATGTATTTCTTTAAGCCTAGTTTTAGCCAAATTCTGCTTGATACAATGCTTGCTCAAAATGAAGTTTTAGATATCCCTTCATCTGTGGAGATAAGCGCTTCATTCTTTGTCCAATACTCCTGCAATAGAGAGTATCTTCATCATCATTCTCTACATATTTTCTCATTTTAGCAGCCTATGGTTTTTGTAATACCCTCTCTGCTACTCCTGCAAGTGATGTTGCTGTTTTTAAAATGGCAGAATCAAATTTGTCCGCTGATTTTTTTCCACTCCAAGGACGTTTTGATTTTATTTTGATTTTTTCAGCTAGTGGTCTTGTTTTTAACTCACTTTCAAACGAGACTGGACTGGGGCTTGATAAGCATGATAGTGGAGAGTTCGCACTTTGACAATCATCGATTTCTTCTTCAACGTCCCCAACATCTGTAATGACCCTGTCTAAACTTGTCATACTTTCTTCATCGCCATTGTCTACCTGAATAAATGACATGTTTGTTGAAGTATTAGCTCTCTGGTTGATATGCATTGTTAACCAGTCTAAATTGGCATTTCCGAAGGAACAGGTACAGCATTTCTTCCTGAACCAGAAGAAATTGACTTTTTTTTTGCGAAGATATCTACCATACACTGTGCAGATATTCTTGTATTTCTTCTCAGCTTCGGATGCATCAATGTTGAATTGTTCTGCAATTTTTTTCCAGCAGTTGAAGCGGACAAACTTGTTTTTATAATCTTTGTTAAATTTATTATAAAGACATTCGTATTTCTGTCCTTCCATAAAATGTAGAGAGTTAAACTCATCGCTGTTTGTTGCCGCCATTTTGACGTGCGTTTCAATTGTTTCCATCGTCTGAAAATGTTTCCATATGATCGTCAGCCAAGTTTTACGATCGTCCCAATCGTCTCGATAGAATTGCTGACGATACAAGCGTTTGCAGTCGGTCCAATCGGATGGATCGTCTCAATCGTTCGTAAAGTGTTTCCATATAATCGTCTGAGTCGTTTCAAAAACGTTGAAACGATTCGGACGATTATATGGAAACTAGGCTTTAGTTGCAAACATTTCAACGCCATCTTTCGCTAGATTAGATACTAATTTTCCAATGATGCATTCATAAACTGTAAAGAGTCAATGAAATCCAAATTATCAATGGAGAAAAAGATGTACTTCTCGGTGTTATTGGTAATGCAATTGATCTTTCTGTCTTTGAGTTTGTCAACACCTGGCTTGATAAAATTCAAATCATACCTACGAACGTTGTGAAGAGTAACGGGTTTTGACCAGTAGAACTATAGTTCAAGTTGCAATCATTGTGTGCAGATCCACGATATTTTCCAGTGAGATGGCAGTGGCTTCTATCGCGATCTGAGCCTAATTTGTATCAACAAATATGACAGTTAACTGCATTTTGAAAGGCTTGTTCTTCTTCTCAATTCGCATGACCTTGATCCAATCAAGTTTCCCTCGGATATATTTTTACTTTTTTTTTATGCACCTCAAGAATTCGTCAACAGCGTCTTCTCCAGATACACGACTGATGGTTTAGAGTATCGTCAACTTTAGACACAACGACATGTGAAAATCCACAAGGTTGATGCTTCTGGTATTTTTCAGTGAAGGATTTTTCGGGATTTTGTATTGCCAAATCCATCTTTTTTGTGAGACTATCGAAATCGGCGTTTATCACATTGCAGTTAATCAGCAGTTATGCATTGTTCTCGTCAGGGAATTCTATGCGTTGCGGACTGTGCTGAGAGCAGTGTGCTTGGTGGTGTTCTAGATGATCTTCTCGAATAAATCCATAAGCGCAATGACGACAGTAATACATTCGTGCTTTTCTTCGACTTTGGTCGTGAAGCAGTTTATTCAAATCTTTAATAAAACAGTAATGTCGTGTAGTTCCCCTTGAATAAATCAGTAAATTGACGTGGGTGTTAAAACGTTGTTTTGTTAGGTAAATTGGAAATAGTACGTTCTCAAAGCCAAATAAATTGATTGAGATTTTGTTCTGCCACTCAAACGATGCAATTTTGTGGATGGCGACAGGAAATTCAATTCCATCAAATTTAAGGTCATCTTCAAAAAGCTTATAATAATAAATCTTTTCCGAACTTCTTTTTCATTCAACGGAATGAACTGCTGCATGAACAGACCACATAAAACACTTATTATCAGTATTTTTAACATTGATTATAGCTTTCGTATTCCTAAGCTTATAAGGTAATGAAATATAACAAGATCCTTTCAGCGGCTCCGTATCTTGCGACATTTAAGTGAAGATTATGAATTTTCTCAACTGTCCATCCACTTCCTTCCTTTTGATATAAAGCCAGCGACTGCATGACCTTTTGCTTCGCTTCGTTTAATTGATCAGCTATTTCGTGAGAATCAACCGTTGTCATGCAGTGACTTCGAAAGTGTTGTTCAGTGAATTTGTGTTCTCCATTCAGTTTGGATTTAGTAAATTTTACGCTAACGTCGAGCCATTTTCCGCTAACGTCGATGAGCCATTTTCCGCCGTTATTTGTTTCAACTTCTTTTGTCAGCTGATTTAGAATTGAATTAGTTTTACTAAGAAGAAATTTTGACTTATCATGCTTTTCATTCTTCTTTCGTTTTAATTCAATCCTCTTTAACTTGTTATTAAAAGCAGATTCATCTGCGTTGCAAGGTTCAACATTCTCCTCTTTAACAGGTGGGCTCAATTTACCTTTGCCGGTTTAAACTGTCTACTGTTTTTCCTTGGGTTAGTACTATCATCAGAATCGCATGACTTTCTTTTACGAGTATTTGTTCGACAGTAAATCATATGTTGCTTTAGCATGTCCTTACGATAAAACCTTTTCAAACAATTATTACACGGATGAACAGCAGCATCTTCTTCATGTTTCCTTTTGTGACGGAATAAAGCGTCTTTCCATGCAAATGATTCAGTGTAAACGTGACTGTGTTTTCAAAAGTTAACTATGCTCCATAGGATAGTTAACTTTAACTACCTTTTAACTGCAGTTAGCGCTAATTACTTTTTATACAACCGACTTAACCGCGTGGATAAATTTAACTACTTTCTAACAGCAAAAAGTGTAGTTTAAAAGTAGTTAAGACCTTTATACAACCGGCCCCTGATAATTGCGACAAGCATGTTATCCTTTAGCAGTTAATCCTAAATTGAGATTTTATGCATAAAGGTAGTCAAGGATTCCTTTCTGCCTTCAAGTTGTAAATAAAGCTCCAATATACAAAAGCAATTGTTTTTTTTCTGTTGTACTTTAATCTTTTGTTATGCTCTATGTGATTATTTACTTTGACTTATTCTTGAATAATTAAAATCACTATTGTATATAAAACATGGATTAATCAATATTCGTTTCATTTCACAATGATTCTCCTTGTCTCCTTTAGTATTTAGTTAGTTGTTCTATTTCTCCTCGCAGAGCCCTATTGTCTTTATGCAATTAGTTTTCTTGTTGGGATAACTTATCTCTTATATCTGTTTCAGCTTTGATTGTTAGTATCTCTGGAATGCCTTCTTATGTTGTATTGCTATTTCGCTTTATTATTCTTATTTTGTTGTCTTGCTTCAGAGACTATGAGTTATCTTTGTGCTGGGATTTATGTATTATTATATCTATTTAAAGGGGAAGTCAGACCCCAAAAAAACTTTTTATCAAATGAAAGATTTTATTTTTACAAACCATATTCCAAAGTTTGAAAGCTCCAATCAAAATTATACCGGAGATATGAAACCACAAAATCATGAAGTTTTGCTGTAAAAGCTGCAGCCATTGTATACATGCGAGCGAAGCCGCGATCGAGCAGCGGCTTCCGTTCTTGACGTCACTGCGCGGTAAGGAACTTTCAATCAACATCACATAACACATAATCATTTGTGAAAGCTCTCTGTATTTATCATTTTAAACTTGCTTAATAAATAACGTGATGGATACGAATGATTCATACGAATTTTCAAGTGATCACTCTGTTGTGAGTGATACATTTCGGAAAATGAGCAAATAATGGCGTCGAAAACATGATTCAGCCTTACTCATATGAACCGGTTGAAACCGACTTGGGTAGCGACGCCGAAGACAATTCGCAAGGAACGAGTGCTGAGTCTTCAATTGAATCTGGCTCAAATAGACTTCAAGATAAGTACTGGTAATAGTTATCTACAAATATTTGATTTTTTTTTTTCATTAAGTGTACGAAATATACGCCAAAGTCAAATCCGTAAATGACTTTCTTCTTTCAAGGTGTACATGCGGTCATTGTCAAATAATGGACAGACATGAAGAATGTATATGTTGCAAAGAGATTGCTGCTTGCAGGGATATTAATGAAGAGTCAGCTGAATTCGAGGGTATTGATGTTCCAGAATGTATCACTGACAACCTGTATTCCAAAATTTATGTTTAAATTACTGGCTATTGAGATTGGCGTGGAGTCAATACAAGCAGCAGTATGGGAAAAGTGCTTTTGAAGGACCAGAGCATAAGAGGCAAAGGCATGTTGCTTACAGACAATTTGTAAGATGGTGTTGGGGAATTTTGGGAAAAGAAATAAGGAATCCTTTGCCATCTTGTGCTGTTTGTTGTATTCTGGCACATTTCCCTCCACCTGGTCTAGAAGAAGATTTTGTATTTAAAGGTTTTGAATTTGCTGATGAGTGATGCAGGTATAGTTTCATTATTTTTTCTTGCCCATCCTTGACCTATGAGCATATATCACTTCCTCTTTACTTGGCTTGGGTACATTTACAATGTTTTTGGGAATGTTACTTAACCTTGCTGTTGGAATTTGATGGTCATATGAGGCAACATTTTCCATTAGGCTTTGCACAAAGGAAAATGATTTGTTCTCTGTTATTGGTTTGGCTATCCATTTATTACGGCCTTTTGGAAAAACTATTTTGTATCTGGAATTGCCAGTTTTCAACTGAGCTTGTTTTCTTTCAGTGTTTGAATTATGATCAATCACAGCCAATTGGGTTCTTGCAACCATGCCATTGTATGAAAAATGAAGGCGTTTTGGAACATATTTCAATAGTAATGAATGGTACACTTCCAGGTTGCCAGTGTGATGGAATTCTGTAAGTTTTGTTATGTCTTTCAACAATTTCTTGTTCAAAACAACATCTCCTAAGGCAATGTAGTCTGCAAACCCTGGTGTTAACCATTTTGTCTTTCTTTCTCTCCTCCTAGAAAGCTTCTCGTGTGAACACTTCCTAAAATACTTACTACTTTTCCATTGGTGTATGTTTATAACATGATTCAAAATAGACACCCACTTTTCACATAGAATATCAGCGTTTCCTTCACATGTTTGCGCACACCACCACAGATGGTTCGACACTGACTGAATCCACTTTTGAAGGGAAGCATGTTTTTTTGCTTTTTTGGTAAGCTTTTTTGTTATCCATTTAGATAAGTGCCATACATCATATTGGTGAATAATATGAGGATATTTTTTCCGCAGCTCTGATGTTATTTGGATGTGGCGATCTGTGGTCAATGATCTAATTTGGATTTTTTCACCCATGACATTATTCAAAGATCTCTGGCAACCTTCATTCTCCATTGCATTGGAAGAAGACACTTCAGATACCTGTATCAAAGAAAAATCAACAATTTTCCCACTGTTTTCTTCCATCAGCGTGTATGTGCCATACTTTGCAATGTGACCTGGACTATCACATCTTCCATCACCACATAAATCTATTGGTATGTCTGCCTTGGTATATTTTTCTATTATAGTTTTTTGCTGTTTTCTATAGGTGCTATTAATCACTGGAAAGACAATTTCATCTTGCATATTATAGAACTGGTCCTTGTTCACAAAACCTAAGTTCAAAGCATTTGCAAATTGCTTCAATGGCTCATATGTTGAACCAGTAAAGATTGTTGCTGCTGGTATCAAAACATTTCCAGCTGGTTTATTGTGCAACATAGGCTGTGACTTCCACTTGAAGATATGATTTTTGTGGCAAATTGCCTTCTACATCACCATGCTACCCACTGTAGATTTTTCAATCTCACATATGGAAGAACAAAATTTGCATGATATGAACAACTCATCTAGCTTTCTTTCAAAAACAATGAATTTTCTCTCTGTGTTTTGCTTATCATCATCCGATTCATTGCTGGAACTTGGTGAAGAACACACATAATTTTCATCACTACCATCTGACAGATCACTTTAAGTTGAGCTTTTATCTATGGTATTCACAGTCTCCTCATGCTTTGAACAATTATCTTCCCCACATGATGCATTCTCAATCTGGGTGATGTCATGCATGATTGGTGGTATAACAACAGAAGCTAATGGTAGGTTTGACATTGAATGTGCACTATTGTTCATGGGACTAGAGGTTTTTGAAAAGTTACTGTATTTTATTTTCCTTCTTGGCTTTTTCCTCTGTGCCAGTGTCTGAACTGCAATACTGCGTGTTGAAATCTTTTCACACTGTGTTTCAGCATCAACACTACTTGGAGTATCACTATCACATAGTATTGCCACACTTCTTCCAGCTGAAGTATCTATTTCTGGCTCTATCTCAGTCATGGTCATGGACAATGTGAGTGAAGAGTCTTCAGCATCACTGGGTTGTTCAAGCATACTGGCTAATTCCTGCACATTGTGGAATTTAGATTCATTTAATTAAAAATGTTTCAAGTGTAATGTTCAAAAGAAAATTTTAATATAATGATCTCACTTATATATATCAATACATACTTATTCATGCTCAAGATAAATAATATCAAAATTATTCTGTAAAAATAACATTAATGGGCTACCTCTTGCATCGCTTTTCTTTTCTGCCTCTTACTTGAGGATTCCCACTCTGGTTTACGCTTTAGAAAGGGAATATTGAAGGGACACTACCGGTTTTAATGCTTTTTGCTTTCATTCCAAATAAATCTTTCAGGGAACCTTCAAAACAATCTGGCGTGAAATGCGCGCTGCACATAGCATGAATTAGGTTTAGGCAAATTATCACGTCGAATTCGCCCTAGCCACATTTTACGAATATATTGATCATTTGGCAAGCGATGGTAAGATATTTCACTTCCTTTGCTTTTTTTTGAACAATTAGTGCAACCGGGTACCATACAGTAAGGCATATTTATAAAGAAAGGAAAATAAATATCGAGAAAGAAATATGCATTGAAGACTTTGTGTTTGTTTTGTATATGAAATTTTGAGCGCTATCGCGCTCACCGCGCAGTGACGTCAAGAACGGAAGCCTAGATTTTTTGGCTGTAAAATAAATTTGTTAAAATTTGTCTAATTTCATCTTGAAACTAGGTTTGGTGTTTACCTTGTATATGTGATTGGTCCACTCTTTTAATTGTTCTCCGCTTTGTGCCAACAGTGGGGGGTGCATTTGGAATGCTAAATAGAGTGGGTTTTGCATCAGTCTTTAATCGATTTTTCAAATCATTTGCAAACATCATAATGATCAGTGCATAATCGACAATTTTTGTAAAGGTAGTTTGCATCCTTGTTCATAAGATCCTCTCTTCTGAGAATCACCCATTCCTTTGATCTGGAAAGACAAATGACTAGGGTATGAAAAGGTTGTTTTATTTGATTTCTAACAGCAAAATTTGATTTGTGATTGAAATTTCACCTTTTGGGATCTCTTGGAAATCTAAAAAAACTTAGATGTGTATGTGAATGCTTGCTGTTTGAACAGTTAACAGCAGAACAAAATGTTCGTCCTCCTCCATTTCCTGTATATTTCTTTCCAGTATTTGACATTAATTAATGTTTAAATCCACAGCTGATGTTATGTAAAGTTTGCAAGAAGTACTTGTAAATTGTGTTTTCCATATACCACTTCCACTTTGAATTATCATATTTAATCATTTTTTATGTTTTATTGAATCTGTAGGAACAAACTACTATTACAGATAAAGCATATACAATCATCAATTGAGCAATGTTGAGTATTGTTTGAGTTTACAAGGAAAATAAAATATAAGCATAGGTTTTCAAGACAATTCACAAAATTAAAGATCATTGCTTTTAATTCTCAGGACAGTTCCGCCATACAGTTTATATTTATTTCTAGTAAAAAACTACAGCAGAAGGATTCTAATAAAATAAAATAAATAGTGGAAATTTGGTCTATGAGATTTACTGCAAGAATACATTACTCAACTACCAACTATTGCTACAACATACAGCATAGATGCCATTCGTCATGGTCAAAGTTGTTTTTTAGTCCAACTAAGATTTATTTGTATACCAAAGGTAAGTAATAAATTATCTATAGTTAGCTCATGTCTGTCTTTGTAATTGACCAAAATTTAAACAAAAGTACAAAACTTCAGTTCAGCCAGTGTGTATGCTCTTATGCAATTCACTATTTCTCAGATACATTATAATGGTATATGATCATTTACAAGATCAATATATCGTATATTTATCTACCTAACCACTGATAAAATGTTAATTACATGTTCAATAAAACTATAACTATATAGAATTTATAGTAATATATTGGTCGTAATGGTATCGTATAAACAGTGCAGCTTTAAATCGGCAGATATTCCTGGATGTTTTCTTCTTAAATAACACAGAAAAATATCCTGAAACACCAAATAAATGTTCTGTAGTTCAATCATCAAAGTTCAGTCGTATGGTGTCATAAAGATTCATTGTGTGATCGTTTGACCAAATCGAACATGCGATGACGATGAGTCGGCATAAAGTTCGACTGAGATTCCTTAAAACTTTCAGAAAACTTAAAACATACCTTGCTTTTGCTATTTTATAAATTATGCATCAGATTGAACAGCTTCAATTGAAAAAAATCCACGTTTTCCAGTCTTCACTTCGCATCTTACCGTATAGTTTAATATTACGCTGCCAGCTATTGACTGGCCAGGAAGATGGCGGAAGTGGAGCATGCGCATAAAAAATTAGCGATAAGTTAACTCGAGTGTCCCTTCTGTATAGTATATATTCTGTGCCGAAGCTTTGCTTCATCTGTCATTTTCTTAGCAGCTGCATACAGTCTCTTGGTCAATTAAAGAAAAGCCAGTTTTGCTATGCTTTCCTACTTTAATGTTCAATCCTCTTTGAATTGTTTCAAGTGTCTTAGCACCACCATTGAACAAGCAAACTGCTAACAAGCATGCTGTCCGCACTGTTTCTGGACCGCTAAAAACTTCCTTTGGACAGAAGTCCCAAACCAGGTGATTTAGAGCCTCATTGTTATTTTGAGACATTCCAGCCAGCACACTATCCAACAGACTTCTATCCCACAAGCCTTGAAAGACAGTCAAAATTTCTTTCATTACTGCTGGAGCAATGTTTTTTGGTTGGAATGTTTTTGTTCCAAGAACTTTATCTTTCTGCCAACCACACCATGAATTTTCTCCCTCAGGGCAATACTGGTGCATTTGCTTGTCTTTTGTTGAAGCATAATGGTGCCAAATAGCTTTTACTCCCTCTCCATGCCATCACTATTCCCCATATTTTCCCTTAGAGCTTTCCCATAATACCTTTGGAACAAATCAATGAGGTTGTCGGTGAGACAATTGCGACCTCCAATTGTTTTGCCATCAGACAATTTAGTATTCCTCAAATCAATTTTCTTTTTTCTAAGCCTTCCCCCATCCTCTTTTGATTATGTCCAACACATTCAATTTTTTGTACTTCCACATCTCCATATGGGTCGGAGCGTACAACATCGCGATGTGAGGAAGAATCGCCATCACCTACAAAATCAACATAATGCAAGTTTTGCTTCTACAATGAACATAGCCAGATTCCCACTGCACCAGCAGCTTCCATTGCGTTAGCAGATCTGTCAAAGTTGGCATTACATTTAGGACCATGGGTTTCCATCCAATGAATATACTCCTCTGAGTCTGGGTCAAGATGTTTCTTGGAACGGCATTGGTAACACACCTTACTTTTCACTTCAAAGTCAAGGACTTTACCACTATCAATTTCAATGGCAGACACCATACCATATAGCGATTGAAAACATCTTCTTGCCCATGTACCATCGCATGAAACTGCAATATCCAATGCTTCATGCTTGCCCACATTGCTTCTGGCTCGCACATCTTTTGCTGCTTTTTTCATTTCATACTCAGCGACTTCCTGTGAAACATGGGAAATCGCCTTCACATGGGTGTTGTAGGATTTTTTTCCTGCTGGCTCTGGCATGTCCATAACAGCACAAAATTTAACCAAAGCTGATCTTCCTTTTCCAATTACTCTCATAGCCAAAGTAACTCGATGATTCACATCATAAAATCGACTTTTACCTTTGACCCCTCTTTTCGAGGTTGGGAGCTCAGTACAGGTATCACAAGAAGAGTTAGAACATTGTAACACCATTGTTTTAGCCAATCTACATCCTCCAGGTTTTTCTAACAGCGGTAAACTACCTTTCAAACAGACTTTGCAAACAGCACATTTTGATATAATTTGACCCAGCATAGCTACGTCTTCAAAGCGATAACCAGAGGGAATTCAGGGTATGGATGTTGTCGTATGGCTGGATGAGCTTTCATCCAGACGGATTTTCTTCGCTGAAATACTGCTTTTGCCATCGTCGTTATTTTCTTTCGGCTTTCTAGAACGTTTCCCTGATCTAACAGGTCTTCTCAAAGATCGATATTTAGTTCTAGGCATTGCCAGAAAACCTTTGGAAAGCTTTTGAATAACAATAACTGTAAAACCGTTGAACATGTACTGGTCACGCTTGATATACAAATTAGCAATGGTTGTAACCCTGTTTATTTAATGTAAACTGGGAAAAAAAACCAAATTTTCAAAATCGTTGCCATATAAACGCCATAGACTTTAAAATACCATCTTCAAAAAACATAGAATTTTCAGCATTAAAATAATGTTTTCAACAAAACAAAAGGTAGAACTTAAAAATGTATATGCTAAGGAAGGGCTGTATGGAAAAATTAAAAAAAATAAAATTCATGATTTTGTGGTTATCTACTACCCACAGTTACTTAACACCAAACAGTCGAGTGAATATATGATCATTTAAAATGAATAAATAACGAAAAATATAGATCTATTGAAAAAATTCATTGATTAGGTTGATTTTTTGTTCCATGTAATCGTAAAATCTTCACAGGGAAATAATACAACGTCCGGGGTGAATTTTCATTCCTACAATGCATGTTGAATTCATTACGGGCTGCTGTTTGTTAATGTAATCGGCCCTTTATCCCTCCCACATGGGTCAATTTTGTGGCGCCGTCATTTTGGTAAGAAATTGTCTTTGCTGATTAAAGTGAAAAGTCTTTGACAATGAATTAAAGAACTAAGAAAATTTTAGCATAGCTATACTGGGAGTAAACTGCATAAATCACGATTATTGAAGTTTGTGGTTATTAATATTACTTGGATACTGCTGGGGCTGAATGTACCTTGGCCGTTTAAAATAAACGACGTTTAGCCGTCATTGAAGGAGTATATTCCTAATCTGCCAGATAGTTAAACGATGGTTAAAACTGCAATGCACGCACGTCGTTTAGCGTAATGCTTAACTATATGGGGTCGGTTGTACGAAAGGCGCTTAACTCGTTAACCACCGTTTTAATCGCCCTCCACTGTCCAAGTTTTAAACGCTTATAAAATTGTGTTGTACGAAGCCCATTTAACTCCAAGTCACTGAGCTGTATGTATATTTGCAGTATGTGTATTTTCATGGCATGAAAAATGCTTCTAAAAAAACACATTTTTGTCCTTGGCAAATTGCTCAATTGTTACGAATCCATATAGGCTTGTGTATTTAAAATGAAATGACAACACTTAAGTGGTTTGAACGTTTGGCTGCACCTGGAACTTTTACAAACTCAGAAAAAGCAACAAAAATCGCGCGGACTTTTCGTAATTTTTGTCTTTGCTTCAAAATTCTTAGCAATGCTATGACTTTTGGCAGAATTTTTTTGACAGTCAATAATTTAGACTAATATTCTTCAAATTTGATGTATTTTTTTGAAAAACTACCGCAGTTTAATTTAGAAATTTTGCAAATATAAAAATTCTATTTTTTGAATTTTTTACAAAAGGACTGGTGCGACTTGCAATAACGAAAAAATTTGGCTTCATATTACCCCCCCACCTAACTTATCGTTCCAGATGTATTTCAGTTCAATGTACTGAAGTGTCCATCGGCTTGTTTGTCCATCCTTATCCTCGGAATTAGAGGGCCGTTTAGAGTGTTCTTAATTTTCTCTGAAAGGAATGTTTTTTTAACAATTTTCATTTCATTCTGTCAATTGTCTCAGACCGAAACCTAAACTTAAACCTAAAACCTAAACTTTGTGTTTTAAGGCTGAAACACACTGTGCAGTCGCTTTGGTCTGGCGACTTAAGCGAATTAATGCGCGCGCGTTAGTGGCTTAAATATCAGAAACATACATGCAAAAGTGAGCATTGCGACCACATTGCGACTATCAACATGGCATCTAGTCATCAGGCTAAGTTACTAGCATCTGTTTGCATTTTGTACAAGCTGGAAAAGGTTGAAAAACAGGAAAAAATAATAAAATGAAAAGGTGGTGGGTTCGTCAATTTAACAGGCAAAGGAGAGCACAAGGAGATTTTATGCACTTGGTTCAAGAACTAAGAACTGATGAAGAGCAGTTTAATCTGTCTTTTCGTATGTGCCCTCAAATATTTGATGAGCTGCTGGCTTTGGTTGGTCCATCTATTCGTAGGCAAGACACTCAAATGAGGCAATCAGTTGGACCTGCTGAAAGACTAGCAATCATATTAAGATGATTGGTTACAGGTGATAGCCCACAGTCTATAGCATTTGGTTATTGTCGTGGGGCAAGCACAGTTTGTGAGGTTGTTTACGATACGTGTAAGGCACTTTTGAGAGTTCTGGTCCCAATATACATGAAAGCTTCTTCGCAACCAAGTGACTTGAATATCTGAAAGGTAGAGAGTTAAAACATGATTATGATAAAGGGTTACTTTGTGGTGCCACTGCATCATTGTTTGTTGTATGTTTTCAGATTTGCTTATACATGGAATTTTCCAAACTGCATTAAAGCACTAGATGGAAAACATATCGCATTTCAGGCTCCGAGAAACTCTGGATCTTTGTATTTCAATTGTAAAAAACACTTTTCCTTGGTGTTAATGGCTATGTGCGATTCCCATAACAAATTTATCTTTGTGGATATTGGTGAAGCTGGGAGATGGAGTGATGGGGGAGTTTTTGCTAATTCACAATTTGGATCAGCTTTTTTAAATGGTATCATATCTCTTCAAAGTATTCAGTGTTGAAAGTAATATTCACCTTATAAATTTTATTTGATAGGTGAGATGCATCTACCTGCAGATGAGCCTTTACCAGGAACAAATGAAAGCCTTTCCTATACTGTGGTTGCAGATGAGGCATTTCCTCTTAAAACCTGGATGATGCGACCTTATCCAGGAAGAGTACTGGATTGCCTTCAAAGGACAGTTTTCAACTACAGATTTTCAAGAGTACAGATCAACAATAGAAAACACCTTTGGTTTGTATTTACATGCTCATTTTCTTTATGGAGTTCCAAATCCAACACTTTTCAATATTCTCTTCAATTTATATTTGTATCAGGTATAATGGTATCCAAGTGGCGAATACTTGAAACAACCATTATAGTAGAACCAGAAAATGTGTCCAAAATTGTCAAGGCTACTTGCATTTTGCACAATTTCCTCCAAACACGCCATGTTTCCTACAGTCCAGCTGGTTTCACAGATACTGCGGATCCATCAGGAAATGTTCATGAATGGTCTCGGAGGCAAGAAACAACTGTGTGCTTGAACCATTATCTCGCAACAAACAAAGAAACTACAGTAGTGAAGCATCCAAAATCAGAGAAAAGTTTGCAATGTATTTTAATTCAGAAGTTGATCAACTTTCATGCAGGAATATGTGGAAAGAACTCATTGATATAATTTTATTTTACTTTTTTGTTGTAATATAGAGTAAAGTTCAATTATTTTTCATTACATTCAATGTCAAAAAGAACATCCTGGATTCTTTTTTTTGCCAGGGCTTTAAGGTAATCAGAAGGAAGCTTTCTGATTTGTAATTCTATGCTTCTGCCAAAATGTTCATACTCATCCATTGATGACTCAGTAGGGGGAGATGCTTATTGTTGAGTAATTTTTTCCAAACTGCTCAGCAACTGCAGCTGGTATTCGTTAGGACCATAATCTTGAACTCTCTTTCTCTTTTTGTTTGATTGTGGAGGTGGTGCCGATGGTGTTGCTGCTCTAGATGATGAAGCTGAGTTGGATGAAATAGGTGATGGTGATGATATGGGTTGGAATGAGATGGAGTGCTAAGTCGGATTGACTGCTTCAGAAAACTTCCTGCTCTCCAGATTATCTACTGTGAGTGTCAATGCACCAATGCTGTTACTTCCATTTGTAACTTCATTGACTGATGCATCTTCAATCACAGTGACAGACATGTTAGTTGATGTTCTATATAAAGGATTAACACTTCTTAAACCCATGATCATTATGCTATTTAACACATTCAGCCCTATACAGTAACACAATAATAAAAGGAGACATCAATGTTAATATGTATGCTTTCTGTAATCGTCCAACCATGTCATCAAACCCCGAAACTCCCATTATGTGGGTAAGGCTGGAGCTTCTGATTTAATGGCAGCATCGTTTTTCTTTTTGTACCTGACGTATACATTTCTAAGGCTTTTCATTTTGGTCTTGAGCTAGGAAATAACCAATCACATGCAAGCGACTGAAGCGACCAAGGTCAAAAGTTTAACATGCTAAACTTCCAAAGCGACTAGACTCGCGACTAAAACTATTAGCTTAGTGACCGCACAATTTGGTAGTTTTAGTCACGGTACTAAAGCGACTGCACAGTGTGTTTCAGCCTTTAAAGTTAATCTAAGGGGATCGAAAGTTTATGGTGAAATTGTACTGTGCGTAAGGTCAATATGACAATGAATACAAGCGAACATACATATCATAGATATAATAAAACTAGATTGCTGACGAGTGTGAAGTAATATAAGACTTATTAGAGAGCTTTAGCAAAGACTATGAGTACGACTAGGAGTACGAATTACGTCATTTTGGCGCGAAAACATCGTTTTGACAACAACAACCTGTAGCCATCATCAATCTCAGTACGATGTTTTGTAAAAAATTCGTAGTCGCGACTACTATGACTTTTTAAGCAAAGAAAGTAGGTATATTTTATCATTGTGTAAGAAATTAGTTTACAGTACTATTTTTGAGCATCCAGGCTTTACTTTAGAACCTATTTTGAGCGCATATGTACATTTAAAAGGAAATATGACCATGACAACTTTCATGTATTTTGTTCGCAAAGTGAACGGCAAATAAACAATAAAATAGCATAAATATATCGTACATAAAATTTGAAATAGTGAAGATTTTAAAGAGTAAAAGAGTAAAGAGTCCTATGTTTTTGCAAAATTAGTAAAGAGTAAAGAGTCCTATGTTTTTGCAAAATCAGTAAAGAGTAAAGAGTCCTATGTTTTTGCAAAATCAGTATTACCGACTACTTGATATCATTATTGACAAACGGAGTAGTAGCTGCTTCGCAAACGTTGGTGTTTGTAACAATAGAAAGGCTCGTTCTGTTGTTTATAGCTAAATCTAAATTTTGACGAAGTGACTACCACGACAAACTTCCTCGTTCCATTCCCTTACATGGTCAAACTTCGTACTCGTTGTCGTAGTCGTACTCTTGCTAAAGGCGGATCTCCACTAGACGATTTTAGAGACGATTTTATGCACGATTGTCAAAATTTTCGCAACGATTTTTTTAGCAATGGAAATGCATGAATAAAAATATCACCAAAATGAGAAACCACTGATCTGATAATAGACTGGATATAGCTTCCACAGGTAGCAAAAGGGTGATTGCTAGATAGTATACTTCAAAATAAGATTTCCGCTGGGAGACTGGTGCGAGTTTTGCAATATCTTCGGAAAAAAGAAACGAGAGCATCACGAATAACGAACAAAGATAGAGCGATAAACCCTGGGTAAACCTATTATCAATGAGAATAGTTTAGTGTAGGAGTTTTATTGTGATGAAGTTGTTGGTATTTGATTGAATCAGTATGCTAGAAATTCATTCTCCTCAAGGTAAGAATCGCAAAAAATATATAAATGTATTGAATAATTATACTATTTTACTCATATAATTGAAGCAAATTATCAAGATATACAATAAAATACATCCAGGAATATTCACTCATTAATATATATGTACATATATATACGACTATGAGATACAAACATATGAGACTGCGAGATATACAAAGATATATGTCGAATTCAGGTAAATCTTTAACAAACGAAATTTTACGGGTTGAGCCGGTTGACACATCAACAGCCTTATTAGGTAGCAATATTAGTCTACTACAAATTTATTTACATTAAATCAGTTTATGATTAGCATGATATGGCATTTGAGAACAGTACCTATCAGGTTATTAATTAAGACCAGACACTATATTTTTCTCTGATGGCTGATGCAACACTTTGTCTGTTTCCCACCCTGATTATCATCACTGCAACATGTGAAGAGAGAAACATAACCTGTGTATAGCAATATACTTATCCATAATTTTAACCATAATTGTGCAATGTCCCATAATCCAAATGTGCTTTTCTATGGCCTTTCATTATGTCTCATGCATGATTATTTTTATATATATAGTGGTGGATCTAGGAAAATACATTGAAACAGTCCATCAATTGGTTTCATTTAACCTTGAAAAATTCCTAAACAAAGCCATTGTTATAAAGGTACTTCGAATTGAAAAATATTGCCCATAACTTATTTTTCCTTACCCTAGATCCACTACTGATTTTATAAAAATGTACATCATGAACAGTCCTTCAGCATTTTATCATTGTTGACCTTTCCAGAATATGACAAGGCTCTTTGTTTACTTCATGTGGGAACATTGTGAGCTGTTTTCTTTCCAGACACTGTTTTAGATGTTGACGCATCTGGCTCTGTTGGAAAATGACTGCTCTAGGATAAATTCCATTAGCAAGAGAAACTGCATTAGCTATGGCAAAAAGACCACAATCTACAAATCCTGCTTGCTTTTGACAGCACCTGAGTTTTACTAGCAGTAGACCTCCTTTTGCTATACTCTTGTATAAGTATACCAATTGCATGGTGAGTGGATGTGTCATCCCAGGATACAGAGAGTCGTAGACTATCACTGATTGTCCATTTGACTGAGATACTAGCCAATGACCTGGAAGATTATGAAGCTGGATTATGTTAGTCATTGAACTGTTTATATTTGGTAAACCTTCCCCACTAAGTTGGTTTGATACTATCAGTGTATCCATTAGGCCACATGCTTCTGGGAATTGGTTTTTAAGAAGAATTTGTGCTGTATTGATGTGTTTGTCGTTCATTAGATCTCCTGAACTAAGTATGTTTTTATCAACCAGAGATAAATTTATATTTGAAACATGTAGCCAAGGCTGTGGTCTTGAAAGATTTTAAAGCCGTTTATTAGGCGAGCTGAGGTCAATTACATTAGGTCCCGTTGAACACCTCTTCACAGCCTTACCAGAAGGTATTGGTATATGTACTTTATAATTTTTTCATTATTTCTGCACGTCTTCCAACTCGACCAGTGTATGGGTGCTTAGGACGCCCATAGGATCTAATATTAATTGACTTAACTCTTGTTTGCTTCTTTTGACTATTTTTGATTTTGTCATTTTTTTTAGATTCTTGTTTTGGTAGTGAATCTTGAAGAATTATTCCTGCTTCCTGTGGTGCAGAGTTTCGTGCTTCTTCTAGCAATGTATTAAGACCATTGGTAAGAGACAATAGTTGTTGTTTGTCATCTATAAGAAATGTCAAGCTGGATAGTTCTTTCATTAGATTTCTACATTTGAGACGTAGAGCATTTTACCATATGTCTTTTTCGGTGGAAGAGGAGCAAAATCATCAGCATCATTTGGCACAAGCGATTCATTCTTAATGTGTTGAGGTGAATTCTGCTGCTCTTTTTTACTAGGAATATTTTCGAGCGAGTTATCTGCTGGAACTATGGTGTTATCTAGATGAAAAGTGGATTTTCTCGATAAAGTGGGCTGAGTCTATCCCATTTCCACTCTGGAAAAGCTCTTATGCAAGCACAGAAGTGTTTGCACAAAAGTTTGTTGTGTCTCCAGTCTACGCAGGTGCAGTTTGGAAGCGTTTGTTCATCACCAAAAAGTACGATATGGTGCTCCTTCCCTGTTGAACTTTTTACTTCAAAGACCCCTGGGGACACCATGTGGACCATGTCTTTGCTAATGTCACTATCCCAACGCTTCATAATATGAGACACCATTCTGGCAGGTCTGTTGTGCAGAAATTTTGGAAGTTCCTCATTATAAGCACGGTAACCTTCGTGACATTTAACATTTAGCTCAGCATATCTAAAATTGTAAAAGGAAAACGTCACTCACGAATATTATTACATCTTATTAGAATCCAAAGATGACTAAAGTCGACAGTAAGTGCCGCTGTAGTTAGCCTAATCACACCTTTCAATAATTTGTTAATTAAGCAGTTGTTTTTTCAAAAGAAGGGGCCTGTGTCACACAACAAAAACAATACGAAATGAATTTTTCCTTCAAAACTGGTATTTTTTCGTTATAAAAACATAGAATCATTATAGTATTGTGAAGTATTAAAAATTTTACTTTTTGAAGGTATTTGGGAGAAACCGATCAACAAGTGCTGTCAGCATATCACTTAAGGAGCACCCTTTATTCCCATGGAGGTACTCATATTTGAATGCCTTATTCTGTCTTTCAATGCCATTGTTCGTGTTCACTGCACAAATGAAATCTCCTGTCCGATACGCTTGACACCATCTCTGTAAGAAAACGATCAATACAGTATATTTTGCATGTTCTGCTAGTACATAGTATTTTATTTGAGATTATGAAATAATACAACGATATAAGCCCTGGAGATTTGGTTTTACAAAATTGCCTAGTAAAATTTTATAATTTTATAAAAAAGGGTCTCCTTCGAAAATAGCAAAAATTAATTTAGACTATTTCATGAATAGTACATCGCTTTTCTATCAACGTTGATTCCATCGCTATATTTAGTTTACTACCTTAATGTTTGGCAGCCACTTTCCACCAAACCAGTTTCTCATTTTGAGATTTTCTTTCCAAAATATGCTTTCTGTCAGGGCGTTCATTGACTTTTGACATTGTTCAGACGTAGCAGCATGTGCAATATTGCGTAGTAGATTTAGAATTTCCTGTATATTCTGAAAAACACCATTATCTATTTTTGACGTCCACTCCTGCCACGATTTCTCTCGATGAAAATCACAAAGAAGTACTTCCGCATCTATTTTACATGAAAATGTTTTATATGTAATGAAATAACTACTTTTCTCTAACGACACCAACTATGTTTATTTTAGCATTTTTCAATGTTCGATTTTTAACTTTTTGGTCTGCATGTGATTAGAATTATGGCAAAAAATGCGACAATATATTCATACACGTATAAAGTTTATCGGGGGGAATTCAGTAAATGTTTAAAGCGTTATCGTGGAGCTTTAAAAAACCACGATGCAAATCTGTTGTACGTTTGCATACCTGGAAAGGTTGTTTCGAGTGCTTGAATTTCTTCTTCGGCGAAATCTACCATAAAACGAGAAGGCTTCCATATATCAGCATTCCACTCCTTAAACACCATCAACGCTTCCTGTATACATTTGATGTTTTCGAACTGTATGATAAATGATCCAACAACTTGGTAACATACATTTGTTCTCACACACAAGAAATAAAGTGGGAGATCATACTTCGTTGTTCTATAGGTGGCATCGAGTAAGCACATTTGATTGCCATACTTTCCCAGGAGGTGTTTCTGATATTTCGTTTGATGACAGAAAATTAAAGTGCTTGTGTCCATCTCTAACGATTCCTCTGTATCTTCGTTTGAGATGGTGTTATCATTGTTCTCTGTTGACTCCTCTGCACATGGTTTGCCGGAGTGAGGACGAAACAGAAAGAAATCTTGTGGATTTTCAAACTTCCATTTTTTAATAAGCTCTTCCAAGTTCTTTTGATCATTGGAAGAAAAATGGTTCGGCTTTCCTTTGTAAAGATGGTTATAGATATCCTTGTTCGTAGGATAAAATCGCCTGCTAAGTTTATCTGGAAGTTTACACCCTTGAATAGTTCACCATTTACAAATAACTCAAGATATCTACGTGCTTCGCATACTGAGTGAACACCGTCGCGGGCCAGCTCTGCTAGCTTCTCCACTATCACTGGATCCAATGGTTCTCTTATACCAGCTGCCTGCAAGGTGTAAAACTTTACAAAATTTTTAGCTATAGCTAATCTCTTTTAAACAAATTTTACCATTCCAGTTATGTGATTTTTGTGTTCTGAAGGGCGAGGAAACTTCACGACATAGTGCATCTCGATGTCGCTGCTCTTAATTGTGCCAGTTTTCATTGTCTCATGTAATTGCTTTGCTGTTCTTCTTCTGAAGAAGATACTGTCCTTGTCCAACTAAAGAGTAAAACATTGTAATGTCCTTTTACGCACAAGTTTTTATAATTATATATTATTTTGTCTTCATTTTATAGTGTTTAACAAACCTTCATTCTAGGGAATTTTGCAATTTGCGTTATATAGATTAAAGCTGGGCATTGTTTCTTCTTTGTCGTTTGAGCAAACAATCTTCGCGTAGAATTGTAGCAGTGGTCTGTAACCTAAAAATGTATAAATTTAACATTCTTTATAAATACAAGGAAGACGTAAAATATTGTATAGTTGGCTGCATTTTTATTAGCGCAGATTATACATTGTGCAGGAATACACAAGGTGAAAAAAGGCAACGAGATGTCTTAGCAACATTTTAGAGGACGCAAACTATCATTCTTATTACAGTAATCTAGTCATTGACTACCTGTCGCTGCTGATTTTTCTTTCTTCTTTAGCTTAGATTTTTCATTTTGTCTTTTCCTTGGTGGCACCATAAAATTTTATCTCCGACATGCACAAAAGGTATTCCGTCAAATGGGATAATAGGCCCTTGTAACGCTTCATTCTTCCTTTCCCAGTAAACTTTTACGTTGTCTTTTCTAACATCTGAATATGTTAATGATTAAAATTTTACAACCGGGGACGTCTTATATCAATGTAAATTTTTGGTTGTGCTGTTTTTAAAAAGCGTAATATTACGATTAAATTAAGCGCAAGAAGAAACGATTACCAGAGCGTTGTGTCTCTTTATTTATAGTAGTAAAGTGCACTTAATTTATTAGTATGCTATTTACTACTTTTTTATGCAATTAATTTTGTACATTTCAGCTTTTTCAACTGCCACTCAAATTAATTTTTATTAAATTGACGATGTATTAAACTGTTGAGCTAATTACCTTTTGATCCAAAGCTCTTATCACCGTAGTAGACAATGAACTTGCTGTTTGTCTCAACTTCGTATTTCACGATAAGCGGCATTACATCAGACAGGCTTTGCACGGCAGCCCTGTGGCCGTCACAGCAGTCCCAAATTTTATTCATTGACATTAATTCGTTGAAAAATTTACATTACAAAGATAGTAAATTTTCATAAGTTTATAATGACGAACTATAGCCTATATGCGTGGTGTTCATTAATTGTTTTCCCGCAAAATTTTAAAAATGGCGCATTGCATTATAACAAAAAAGGACATCCTTCAAAAGAACACGGTATACTCGTGATGCTCTCGTTTCTTTTTTCCGAAGATATTGCAAAACTCGCACCAGTCTCCCAGCGGAAATCTTATTTTGAAGTATACTATCTAGCAATCACCGTAGCAAAAGTGAAGCCTAATTATATATGCAAAATTCACTTCCGGTTACCACGGCGAGATACAAATTACTATAGAAATGTATGGCGGATAACGTTTACAAACATGGAAACCTCAAGTATTAGTCATGGATAAAACAGGTTATGCGAATCGATTTGACATCAAAATGATTCCGATAGCTGTAAAATATCGACGTTAGTGGTGATTTCAAAGTTGTACATGCCAGAATGTATTTTGTCCCATCGTTGCCAATGCAAGATAGTTCACTGCTCGCTTTCCAATTTCTGAGGCAGTTATGATCTAGTATACGTTTCAGTTCTTTAGAAATGAGGTGAGTTACTTTTTTTATCATTCTTTCTTTATGTTGAGAGATTGTTGACATTTTATTTTTGCTGTAACTTCATTTTTCCATGAGCAAAGTACTACTGATGCTTAAACAAGGCAAGTCGATTTAGTTTCTTTCGCACTTTATCTTTAGTTTCCATTTCTGAGGTTGTTTTTCCCAAATGGTATAGTCGCACCTTGCTGTAGCATTTAGATATGGTCTTAATTAATGAGTAAATATGATTTTCGTGAACAGTGGTATCCAACATGTGTGCATCGAGATCCTTGAATGTGGTCCTCAAATCTATACCATTTACTACAGACAAAGCAATAGCATCAGGAATTCCTTTCCCTTGCAGTAAATTTCCATCTGTAGCTGCCAACATTCTCTGAAAACACCTCTCTGTTTCATTGCATATTACTATTACACTTGCTGTTGGCTTAAACAAATTATCCCTGTCTTTTAAAGTCAGGAAAGCAGACTCATTTTTGTAGTTTCTTGAACCGACTGCTTCATGACAAACAGGACAGTTTATTTTCTTTTGCACCATCTGGGCAACATAGCCAGCCATGTACGATATTGCCGCCTTTTTAAATTCAGATACAGTGGAAAAGCTTGGTGCATCACTATAATCTTCATCCTCATCTCTGTTGTGATTTGTCCCTTGTAAATCATACTTTCGGATGAGAGCAGCATCATCAATTGTCGTACTTGATTCTTTGTTTGGCATTTTATAGGTGTCCCCAATTACTTCCAATATGTTAGTTTCATCTTGTCTGGTGCAGTTGCCATTGCAACCATGGATACTGCTTCTCCTCAAAAGTCTCTTGTATGCAGCTGTAAATTGTTCAGCTGTTGGGTTGTTGTTAAAGCCTCCTGAGGACCGAATTGCTCCAAAGAAAAGATCTAAATGATCTTGGCTAAATTTATAAGTCAAAATATATTTCATTGGTGCATCTTCCCTTTCAACCAACTCAACAAAAATTTGCTTTATGCTATCAATTGCCACAAGAAACCCAACAAAGCCCGTTCTGCGACGGGTTGTGTACATTAGATCACCTGATGAATTTTCAGACCAATAATGTATTCACGGGCTTAATCAAGAAAGGGTTCCCAACTATCCTTGTTACTTTTTCGAAGAGCTGCTTTGAAACCTTTGGCACATGGATTGCGAGAATTAAGGATATCAAATAAATGGTCAAAAGTTCTAATGAACTTCACTGTAGCTTCTGAACCTTGGAACTGTGGAAGCTTTAGAGTTTCCCTACAGTAATCAATTGCATCTGCAACACTGGCACTGAAAGTCTGAGCAGCAAGATTAACTTTCATCTTTTGTTGCCACCACTGGATATGCGAAAACTTCAACTTATTTCCAAGCCTCAACCCTTCTTTTGTTTGTAGTTTTTGTAACTCAGCTAAA